CCAAGGGGCTGGGACAGGGTGCACGGGGGTCCAAGGGGGCTGGGAGGGGGTGCACAGGGGTCTCCAGGGGCCGGACAGGGGTGTGTGGAGGTCCCAGGGGGCTGGTATGGGGTAGTGAGGGCTCCCAAGGAGCTGGACAGGGGTGTTTGTGGGTCCCAGGGGCTGGGCTGGGGTCTCAGGGGGCTCAGTTTGGGTGCACAGGGGTCCCAGATGGCTGACACGGGGTGCCTCATGGTCCCAGGGTGCTGGGACAGGGTGCATGGGGGTCCTAAGGGGGTGGGATGGGGTTCAGAGGGGTCCCAAGGGTCTGGGACAGGGTGCACAGGCATACTAGGGGTGTTGGCTGGGGTATGGGGGGTCCCAGGACATGTGCGATGCTGGGTGTCCCAGCTGTGGGCAAGGAGGAGGCTCTGATGGTCCCCCAACACCCCCAGACCCCCAGGATGAGCCAAGGATGGTCACAGGCCCCCACCTCACACTGGCCCCTGTCCTGCCACAGGTCCCTGGCTCCAGGAACCAGCTGCACTGCCGCAGACATGCCATCGGAGAAGGAGAGCAGATCCTGGCGGCGGGAGCGGGACCTTTCACCTTCCCAGTGGGATTGGGACTGCCCCGCCACACGGCGCCGTCTGGAAGAGCTGTATTTCCATGAGCAAGATCATATCAGAGCTGGCTCTGAGGATGTCCGTAACTTCTGGGCTTTCTTTGAGCGGCTCCGGCGTTTCCAGAGCCGGAGAACCGAAAGCGAGCCAACCCCCAGCTGCCACAACCAGGCAGAGCCCCCCACCATCGCCCACTGCCTCGACCTGCCCCGCCAGTACGACCCCCGGTACCGCATCAACCTCTCGGTGCTGAGTGCCGACATGGAGAGAGCGATCCGTGGCCGGCGAGGAGACTCCGGCATTCCCCAGGAACGTCTCTCTGAATTTCGTGTGGCTTTGCTGCACTACCTGGACTTCACCCAAAAACAAAGCTTCGCCAAACTGGCCAAACTCCAACGGGAACGAGCGGCGCTTCCCATCTCCCAATACCGGGACCAGCTCCTGCGTGCTGTGGCTCAAAACCAAGTGGTGGTGATTGCTGGTGATACCGGCTGTGGTAAATCCACGCAGGTGCCTCAGTTCTTGTTGGCGGCTGGTTACAGCCACGTGGCTTGTACCCAACCTCGCCGTATTGCCTGCATCTCGCTGGCCAAGCGGGTGGGCTTCGAGAGCCTGCACCAATACGGAAACCAGGTGAGGTCTGTGGACTGGTGACCGCTGATTTCCTCGGCCAGTTTAGGGGTAACTGGGAGCTGCTGGGCGCTGCTGGTTTCTTCCCACCCTGTTACTGGGTGCTACTGGGTGAAGAATGGGTTGAACAAAAGGGTTGTAGTGAACTGGGTTATGTCTGGCTAGCAGCTGGGCAGCAGCACTGTTCCTCAAGGTTCAAATTTAGGGCCAATCCTGTTCAAAAAATACTGAAAATATCAATATAAAGAAAATACTGGTATTTTTATTGATGCACGTGGGCTGATGATACTGAACTGGGAGGTGCTGTTGACTCTCTGGAGGCAGAAGAGGTCCCTGGTTCAAAGCTGCATTGAGAGATGTTCAGACTCAATATTAGGAAATGTTTCTTTACCGAGAGGGCGGTCAGACACCTTGAGAGGCTTCCCAGGGGTGTCAGTGCCCCATGTCTGTCGGTGTTTAAGAGAAAAATGCCCTTAATAATATCCTTTGGCTTTTGGTCAGCCCTGAAGTGGTCAGGCAGTTGGACTAGATGATTGTTGTAGTCCCTTCCAACTGAAATGCTTTATTTTACTTGATTTTATTCAATTTTATTCTATTCTGGTCTTCCTGCCCCAGGTAGGCTACCAGATCCGCTTTGAGAGCACCCGCTCGCCCGCCACCAAGATTGTCTTCCTGACGGAAGGGCTGCTGCTGCGGCAGGTACAGCGGGAGCCGACGCTGCCTGGGTATCACGTCCTGATTGCTGACGAGGTTCACGAGCGGCACCTGCACAGCGATTTCCTCCTGGGGGTCCTGCGGCGGCTGCTTCCTGCTCGGCCGGACCTTAAGTTGGTGCTGATGTCGGCGACCATCAATATCCGTCTTTTTTCGGGGTATTTTGGGAGTGCCCCAGTGCTGCAGGTGCCAGGAAGGATTTTCCCTATCTCGGTGAGGACGGAGGGGGATTTTTGGGATGAATCCCGGCATAGGGCGCACGCGAGTCTCTCACTGCGTCTACCTGGAGGCAACGTCCTCCCTGTCTCTGCTCCTGCAGGTCATCTACCAACCCATCCCTAAGGAAGAAGCATCCGTGGTTGGGAAATTGGGGAAATCGGAGCGCCTGGATCCCCTCCCGTACTTGCGGGTGCTGCAAGCCATTGACCACAAGTACCCACCGGAGGAACGCGGGGACCTGCTGGTGTTCCTGAGTGGGGTAGCCGAGATCGGCGCAGTGCTGGAGGCAGCGCAGGCTTACGCTGCGCATACCCAGCGTTGGATTGTGCTCCCCCTGCACAGCACCCTCTCTGTTGCAGAGCAGGACAAGGTGGGTGAGGGTCTGACCCTGGGAATCGGGGTGGAATTCAGCACCCTGGCATCACAGAGTGAAAAATCCCAGAGCTCAGCCCAGCTGCACCGTGACTGTGGGTGCTTTTGGGGTGCAGCCTGCCTTCTCTGGAGGTTTGCTCTGCTCTGGAGCCGGCCATACTGATGTAGGACCATTGTTTCTTCTTCTTCAGGTGTTTGATGTGCCTCCTCCTGGTGTCCGTAAGTGCATCCTCTCTACCAACATTGCAGAGACCTCAGTGACGATCGATGGTGTGCGCTTTGTCCTGGATTCTGGTAAAAATTCCCCCTTCAACTCCCCTCTCTGCTGGGTAAGAAAGCTTCTTCCTCCCTCCTGCATGGCCCAGAGCTTCTCCTTCCCTCCTGTTCCCTCCAGGGAAGGTGAAGGAGATGAGCTACGACCCTCAGGGCAAACTTCAGCGGCTGCAGGAGTTTTGGATCAGCCGGGCAAGCGCCGAGCAGCGGAAGGGACGTGCTGGCAGGACAGGCCCTGGCGTCTGCTACCGGCTCTACGCTGAATCTGACTATGATGCCTTTTCCCCCTACCCCGTGCCGGAGATTCAGCGGGTAGCGCTTGATGCTCTGGTGCTCCAGGTGAAGTTGGGGATTCCTCTGCTTGCCTTGAGGTTTCCTCGGGGGAGATTTGGGGAGATCTCGGAGAGGAAACCCAGCCAGCCAAGTGTGAGACCAGGCTGTGGCTGAAGTGTCAGGGTGTGATGGCTCTTGGGGGGGCTTTGTAAGCCTCCGGGCTCTTTTCTGTCGTCGCCGGCCTTGTTCTACGTGTGTTTTTCTCTCAGTTAAAGAGCATGGGATTGGGTGACCCCCGGACCTTTCCGTTCCTGGAGCCTCCTCCGTCATCCAGCCTGGAGATGGCTGTGCGATACTTGAAGGACCAGGGAGCCCTGGACGAGGCTGAAGACCTGACGCCCATCGGGAATCTGCTGGCCCAGCTTCCCGTCGACGTGGTGGTCGGTGAGTAATTTGGGGCACTCCCCTTGAAACAGAAGTGATGGTACGAGGAGTGGGGGTCTCCCCTGCCTTCGCTGCCTGCCCTGCCCTCACCATGCAGGCAAGATGCTGGTCCTGGGTGCTCTGTTTGGACTGGCCGAGCCCACCCTAACTGTGGCAGCTGCGCTGAGCGTGCAGTCCCCTTTCCTGCGACCTGCTCACCCCAATCCCGACTGCGCCACGGCCCGACGGCCCCTCGAGAGCCCCCACGGTGACCCCCTGACGCTGCTCAATGTCTTCAATGAGTGGGTCCAGGTGGGATTCCTGTCTAAAGCGAAGAGATGAGACACATTTGGGGGGGGTGGGGAGACTCTGTTTTGGGGTGGGGTGTGCTTGAGTCTGTGTGGGAGGCTGTAGGGGGGCAGTGGGGACTGATTTTGGGGAGCAGGGAGAGGTGGGAAGGACAGCCTGTCCCTGCCAGGGGCTGAGCCATGCTGTCTCAGAGCAGGTGAAATCGGAACGAAGCGGTAGCTCTCGGAAATGGTGCCGGCGGCGAGGCTTGGAGGAGCATCGACTTTACGAGGCTGCCAACCTGCGACGCCAGTTTCAGGTGAGGGGGGCAGGATCTGTCCTCGGGGTGGGGTTCACCTTCGGTCTGAGGAGGACATTGCTGGTACGGAGGAGAGCTGAATTTGCCCACATGCCCACAACCTGCCCATGTCCCAGCCATGGGGGCTCAGCAACCCTCTCTCCCACCGCCCCAGGAGCTTCTTCGAGACCACCAGCTGCTGGAGGAAGCCTCCAGCCAGCCCAGTGACAGCTACAGCCGGCAGAGCCGACACTGGGAACGCCGTGAGCTGCACCGGCTGTGGCGTTCCCACGCGGAGACGGAAGGTCGGAAGCGCAAGGTGCTGCGGCTGCATGACGGAGCAGATGCCTCCTCCGGCGAGGAGGAGGGCAGTGGCACCTGTGGGAAAGGAGAGCGCAGCATCGATATCCAGGTGACCCTTACATCTGTTTCCTCTCCTGAGAGACAGGATAGGGCCATGCAGGCCCCTGACGCCCTCTCTATCTCTGCAGGATATCAAGTTTAAGCTCCGCCACAACGTGGACGAGCTCCAGGCTGTATCCAGCTCAGTCCTCTCCTCCTCGCAGCTCGCCCTCCTGAAGCTGGTGCTGTGCAGGGGGCTTTACCCCCAGCTGGCCGTGCCTGACCAGCTCAACAGCAGCCGCAAGGACTCCGATCAGGTCTCTGTCCTTCCCCTGCCCTGTCCCCACCCCAGGGGTTCCAAGCAGCCCCTTGCTCTCCCTCAACACCCGTTTTGCTCTTGCTACAGATTTTTCACACCAAGAACAAGCAGGGTGTTGTGCTTCATCCTACCTGCATCTTCGCTACCAGCCCGGAGTTGCTCCACGCCAAGGAGGGACCGGAGCGTGGTGGGACCAAAGGTGGGACAACCCCAATCGCAGAGGAATTGGCTCTGCTTCTCCCTGGCTTTTTCCACGTTGGATGAAAGCACTGTTGGCCTCGGGGGTTTGGCAAATCCCTGGTGCTGGGAAGAGGTTTGTGGTCCAGCTGAGACACCCCTTATTGCCCCGCAGACCCCACGGAGGGGCTGAGCCGCCACCACCAGCTCCTTGCCTTTGTCTCGCTGCTGGAGACCAACAAACCCTACCTGGTGAACTGCGTCCGCGTACCAGCCCTACAAGTGAGCTTTTTGCTCTCTTCCTCTCCAAGCCCTCTGGTAGCCTCCATCACCTCAAATCGGTTGCATTTTGCTCCTCCAGGCTCTCTTGCTCTTCTCCCGTTCGCTGGACACCAGCGCGGACTGTGCCCGGCTGGTAGCAGATGGATGGCTGGAGATCACCGTCCCCGATGCAGACTCTGCCCTACGCCTGCTCTCCACAGCTCTGCAGCTTCGTTCCGCCTGGGAAAAACTCCTCCATCAGCTGCTGGAAGGTCGGGGAGAGGAGTCGGGCCGCCGGCCGAGGTCCCGGGACATATCCGTGCTCAGCCGGGGGTTGCTGGAGTTCCTGCAGATGGAGGTGATATGGCCGTGAGCGCGATGCATGTGGTTTTAATCCAACTCCAGTGCCTTGCATCGGGTTGAAGGCTTAGAAAGGAGGATGAGGGGAGCTGGTGTGTCCCCCCAACATCCGTGTGTCCTCTTGCAGGTGCCGTACCGCCTGCGCCAGCTCACCGGGCTGGAGAAACAGAACCTCTACATCGGTCCCCAAACTGTGGCTGCTGCTCCCCAGCTCCCAGGGCTTTTCCAGGGGATGGAGATGAAGCCCGACGAGGTGAAAGGCGGCCACAGGGTGACGGACTTTCTCACCTACAACTGCTTGGCTGTGAGTACACCCCTCTCTCGCTCTGCCTGCCACCCCCTCCCTACCCTGGGGGAGTCCGAGCATCCCCTTCGCCCTTTGTGTCCCACAGACAGACACGGACCTCTACAGTGACTGCTTGCGGAGCTTCTGGACGTGTCCCCACTGTGATCTCCACATGCCCTTCACCCCCCTGGAGCGCATGTGCCACATAAGCGCTTGCCGGCCCTCCGAGGGTGAGTTCCCCCCCCCAACCCTGCCAAGAGACTGTGACAAGGGACAACTGGGGACAACCAGCCTGGGGGGAGCATTTCTGCTCTGTGGGTGACCAAGGAGAGGGGGTGGCAGTGAGCCGGGTTGTGTTTGTGCCAGCTTTTAGCAGTGCCCCTCGAGATGCCACCAAGGGCCCCATTTTGGGGGCGTGATGGTGGGAAGAAAATGGTCTCGCAGGGCTTTGGTTTCCTTCTGATCCCCATTTTTCTCTACATTTTCCTGCAGCCCCCCCGGAAGAAACGGCCGAAGCCTCGTCCAAAACCTCTGCCCTCCACAGATCCTACCACTGCGACGTTTGCCAGCAGGATTTTACCTTCACCCCCACAGAGATCCTTCGGCACAAGAAGCAGCACCGGTGACTGGGTGCTCACTGGGGTGCTCCCACTGGCTGGTGGTGGAGATGATGCTGGGGTCCTCCCCAATCCCCGGGGAGACACAGAAGACCCCGTAATGGGGGGAAAGTCCCCCTACACTGCTACCTCCGTTACTCTTGGTGAGTCTGGCTGGATCCCAAAAGGGATTTGGTGTTTTAGGGGTATTTTAGTGGCTCCTGCAGCTCATTACTGATGCTTGCATAGGGGCAACCTGATTTCACTCCCCTTTTTTTTAAGAAAAACATGTAAATAAATAGCTTTTTGGAGAAAGTCAGTGCTGGCCCGGAGCGTGTTGCCGGACGTTAGGGTTCCCCTGCCCATGCGGGTGCCCGGTTTGGTGTCTGCACCCCCAGATGCAGCATGGGTCAGGGGCTACAGGACAAAGGGATGTTTGTGGGGTCTCGGGGATGTCTCCTGCCTGTGATGCTGCCTGGTGCAGCATGGCCAGCATGTGGCACTCCTATACCAGAGTCATCACTGCCTCATCTCCTTTTCTTTCTGTATCCTGTGGGCAAAGCATCAGAGCGGTCTGTGGCGGGACTTTATCACTACCAGGACTCCCCCCCCCCATATTAATAACAACTGACCTGAGCGGCCCTACAGAGGATGCTCACTCCCAACGTGGTGAGAAAGTGCTGCCTTAATATAATAAGAGACCTTGCTTTAGGAATTGTGGCTGGTTCTGGTGCTTTTTTGGGCTGAAAACACCTGGAGAAAGGCAAATCCAGAGCAGCTTGCACCCACACACACCCTGCGGAGGCAAATGCCGTGACAACAGGAACTTATCAGCTGTCTAAACCCATTTAAAATGCATTAATTATCAGCCTGTGCGCTGCATTAGCCTCAAGCAGGGTTATTAGCGGGGCCCCTTCTAATTAAAGCGATTTGATGGTATTTTTAGCTCTGTGGCATGTTGCCTTTTATTTACCAGGCGAAGAAAATGATAAATAAGTGTGGTTTAACTGGCCTCATAACACTTTGGGGTAAGGAGCTGCTCCAAGAGCAAAGTTTCCTGGTTTAAATTTTTGAAGCCTCAAGGTTCTCTGTAAGGAATTATCCATTGCCAGGGCTCAGTGCATGTTGCCGGCCATAAAATAGGTGGCAGAGGGGAAAAGAAAAAAGGGGAAGGGTGCTGAATGCTTCCTCGTCCCCTTTTTTCTTGTTTAAATTTATTTTCTTCCTTCCCCTGCTCCCCCCAACTCACACCCTTTGCGACTTGCTCCTCATCTTCCCTTTCTTGGTTGGGTTTATCTGCAATTAATTACCACTTGGGTGCGGGTAATTCCTGGCTGGTGGTGTCGCAGCACTCGCAGAAATTAATTAGGCAGGTGATTTGTTGAGCAGATTATTTGGTTTGTATGTGTGTGTGATCTATTTTGAGCCTTTACTGCAGGCAGCTGCCTGTACCTTAGCCTGGCAGGATCCCACCCCGCTTTTGGAGTGCGGGGAGAGTCGTCTCACCCAAATTTAACAGTGGGGGACGTGGGGATGATGCTCCTATCGAGCCCCTGTTGCTATGGCAGTGAGGTGAGATGGGAGATGCTCCTGTCATGGCAACAGGCATCGGATGGGTTTGGTTTTGCTCTTTTCAGCTACAGGAACCCCGATTCTTTGCTCTCCCCACTAGGTTGAGCAATGGAGGGTGAATTAAAGCCCAGCTGACATTTCTGGAAGCCAAATGTCCACGCTGGTCTGGTCCCGCATGCTCTGAAAAACTCAGTTTTTCCCCTGAAAAGCTGGGCTTTGCTTTCCAGGACATTGATGGTGGTTTGGTCCCTGGTTCCTGTACCGCAGGGGACTTTAGCTTTGCTCTGGGCCACCTGGGCCCACTAAATGCCACCCACAACCAGCCCAGACCCACTCCTCAGGTTTCAATTAATCAAAATGAATATTTTCACCTTAATAAGAAGAACCCAACAGCTTTCAGCAATAATCATTAGGGCTCATAAAGCATAAACCAGCTCTGGCTGTTGCTTACCCTCTTGAAAAAACCCACAACATCGCTCTTGCCTTTAATGCAATGGCAAAGCCTTATTGCTTTTAAACTAAGCTTAGAGCAAGTCATTTACATAACAGAAAATTAAATAAGGCCACCACAGCCATAAAGAAGTGGGATTAATTTACTTTACTAATGAAAGCCACAAATTGAGGTCTTATGTGAGAAGAACTCTGGATTTTTAATGAAGTCCTCCAAATTTCTGTCCCTGTGGTAACCCTGGGGTGTTTAGGATCAAATCAGACCATGCTTATGCCCTGGTTTTGCTCCCTGGTGGTCTAAAGCCATCAGCTGGACGCTGGTGTAACCTCAGGGGGGCCAATCCTCAGTCCCATCCTGGTCACCACCTTCATCAATGACCTAGATGATGAGGCTACCTCAACACAGGGTCCTGGTGGCCACCAGGTTGACCATCAGCAACGTGTCCTCGCTGCAAAGGTGGCGAACGGTTTGACCACATCACAGAGCTGCCTTAAAACCTGAGCTTGAGTTTTAAGATGTTGTTTAAACAGCTTCATTTTTTTCTTTAAAAAAGATGCTGCTCTTCACCTTGAATCTGCCTGTAAGAGTGAGACACAGATGAAGGTCACTTGTAGTGGGTTGAGAACAGCCTTGTGTACCCAGCTGTTGCTTGTTAATGTTAATTAATGTCACAGTGTTGGTTGGGTGAGCTGTAATTTTCAATCACGCCAATTAAATGGGTAGATCTAGGTGGGGGCTGGTGCACTATGTGCCGTGCTCGTCCTCTTAGAGGCTGTTTCACTGGAGTGATTGGTGGTCCCCATCTACCATCCTTCCTGGCACCGGGGAGGGAAAGGCTGAGAACAGGATTTTGGGAGAAAATCCTTATTTTTTCACCTTTCCAGAGAAAGCTAGACAAAGAGCAAGGCACTAATCCTCATAATTTCCCTGTATGGCACCTATAGAGTCTATAACACCACCAATAATGCTGCCATCACACCCTGACGCACAAAACCCCTTTCCCCTCCTTTTTTTTTTTTTGCCTTTTAATGACCGAAATTGTTTTCCCTTCTGGATAAATGTGTTTTATTGAGCTTGCTTGCTCTGGCAGGAAGATTTTCTCTTGCTGCCTGCTCTTTTTCCCCAACTGTGGCATCCCCGTCCTACCGACGAAGCTCTTTTGAAGGTTGTTTCTGAGCATCCACTCCAACCCAAGCTCCATCCTCAGATGGGCAAAGTCCATCATCACAAATTTCCAATGAGAAAACAATCTTCCCTTTTTATTTTTTCACCTACCAAACCTGATGTTAAAAGACCCCTTGGGATGAAGACGATGATTTACCACATCTCATGGCAGCCCATTCCAATGGCTAATTATCCTGCCAGCTAATTACCTGCATATTTCCTTTCTAGGCTGAATTTCTGAGCTTTGATTCCCACCAACAGGCCCTTGTGCATTGCCTTTACTGGATAAAAACAAGCCGATAATATCGAGACAGCTATTTCTTTGGGAGACAACAACGCTGCATCAAACCCTCTCTTACAACTCCTTTAATTAGTGATGGAAAAAGTTGGGCAATCTAGAAAAAAAATCCCAGGGGCTGAGCACTCCCAAGGAAAGCTTAACGCTTAAATGGAAAAAAAATTAATAGGCAGATGAAGTTTTTTTCCTTTACAAATGAGGGCTTCTTCCCAGCAACGGCAAGCAGAGAGGGTTTTTTTATTTTATTTAATCTCAATTTGCACACACCGAGCAATTACCAGCCACCCTCTTCAACCCAAGTGAATGACCTCATTTGTTCTTTGCAATGTTGTTGTTGTTGTTGTTATTATTATTATTATTATTATTATTACTATTTTCCTGGAGGTTGAGGCAAATGCGTTAGCCTCTAATTGAAACCAACTGCGTGTTGTTTGGAAATAATTAATTTAATTGTTTGAAAGGTCAAGTGAGAAGCGGAGGGGAATGTCTGTACCTATTAAAAATTAGTTTGGAGCAGATAGGAGGATGCAGGAGCTTGTCCCCATGCTTCAGCTCCAAGCCAGCAAACCTTATCCCATCCCACTCCTCCCTCGTCACATTTTTGGGGCTCTGGAGCATCCAATTTATCTGCAGGAATCTGTCTTCTCTTCTCCAGCCTTAAAATTCAGAGCTGACAGCCAGATTTATCAGCAGGAATCCATCTTCTCTTCTTCAGCCTTAAAATTTACAGATTTAAGAGCAAAAATTTGCTCCTGCTGCCCTTTAGGTTGTGTACCCTGGAGAATTATATCAATAATTATAGAATTAATAACCAATAACCCAGCGATGGGTGGAAATGCTGACTCAGCATCCTCCCAAGATTCATGGTTGGTCCAGAAGCCCGGCATGGGATTTCTCCCCCTGGATACAATGTGCATCAGCCTCTGGTGAAATATTGATCCAAAGATGGAAAAAACGTCTTTCAGCTGAATTCTGCCAACTTTGTGCTGGTAATGAACTGGAAGCAGGGATATATATATGTATATTTTTAAATGAGATCTAAAAAATTTCCAGGAGAAAAGGGATCTAAGTCATTTGCCCGTGGAAGATGCTGTCAATAGGAAACTTGTTTGCTTCTTCCGTGCTCTTATGTGATACTTTAAAATTATAAGGTGTGAGATGCAACTATAAGGGAAGGACAGAAGGCATATAAATGTTAACGTCAGTCCTGGGACTGCTTGACATCACTGCTGTAGCAAAGAGGGGGTCCCAAGCCCTCCTCAAAGGAAGCCAGACCCAGGAGTCTCGCTATCCACCACCCCACTTATTCCATTCCCAAATCTGCTGTTTGATCTTTTTTCGTGGTTTGTTTTTTTTTTGTTGTTGTTGTTAATAAAAATATATATGATACTAATAAAAGAATTTTATTAAATTATTGGCTGATGCCGCTCCTTGAGAGACCTTCTGGGGCTGGGCTTTTTGGACGTTGTGCAAAACTCAGCCCAGGCATCTCATGCTGTTTCGCAGCCTGCAGAGAGCAGCCTTTCCCTCCTCCATGGAAGGTCCCAGCTGCCTTCTGCTCTTTATTAAAATGCCGAAAATTGGGCAAAATCCAAGCATCCCACTCCTTCCCTTACACTGTGACCCACCACAGAGAGATGAAGGCTCCCCAAAGGTCCCAAAATCGTCTTATCAAGCAGGAGATAAGAATTCATTTTTTTCCTTTCTTGATCTCTTAGAGTTTGTGCATTGCACTGGGTGAGGTGGAAATAAAAAATCATGTTTTTTGGGGAAAGATTATCTCATTGCCATGTGAGTCCAGAACCTGGGACTTCATAAAGCATCCCGAGACCTACAACAAAATGATGAGAGATTTGGTTCCTGCTCATGATCTGCTTGCATGGACTCAAATGAATGAGCAAAAAATCACATGATACCTGGCAGTTTGGGCTATTTATGCTACTTATTGGTGAGCCATTCCTCCTGCCGCTGCCAGGACAACCTTTCAGGACCACCATCTGCTCCTGGAGTCCATCCTACCCCATAGACCCTGATGTGGCAACCACTGGCAATGTCCTACTTGACCGGCACCCTGCAGCCAGTGCAGCACCATGTTCCCAACCGCTGTGATGGAAGAAGGTTCGCAGAAGATGGACGAGGATGGTGTGCTCATGAAGCTCAGAAAAGAAAGGAGGTGACCACTGCAACCACAAAGGGAGCCGAACTTACCTCAACACTAGGAGGACCAAGGGTGGCCTTCGTTGTCAATAAACAGCTCTATTAGTTGAGCTGGCCAACTGGCCTTCCCTAAAATAATCCATAGAAAGAATTATCTCCCTGAGCAAGCCAGACCAATGCAAGGGAAGGTTATGTGTGGCTTAGCCCAACACAGTGTATAAAAATTAACCAACCAGCAAAATGAGCTTTGAAGAGAGCTTCAACCCATGTCTTCCCATTGACTTGGGACACCCAGTGTCACACTGGTGAGCATCTAGAGACTGGTAAAGGGAATCGTGCTTGTATTGCGATTCAGCCATGTATTGCAATTGCTATATTATACTTGTGTGTGATTTTTCAGTAGGCTGCTGCCTCACTTTTCTACACCCTGCCCCCCCCGCCCCCTAACATCAAATATCTTCAAATAAGTAAATCTGGCATTAAAACATTAAACCCTCCTCGTGCAGAGTATCTAAAGGAACCTGGCTGAAGAGCGCTGGACTTCAACATGTGACTGTTCAGCTCCAGTCCCAGGTGATGAAGATCCTGGGCAGTTTTGGGTCAGAGTCCCCACACTCCCGTGCATCCCTGCATCCCTGCTCCTACCTTGCCTCCCCAGACCAGGAACAATCCCACCCCATCCCATTTCCCACACACGCACATCGTGGCAATGAGGATAGATGGCTGTGAGGTGATGTCAGTGTGTCAGGTGGTAATTTTATTCCCATTTTTCTGCGTGACACGGACTCTCTGCCTGCTTGACAGCTCAGCTGTCTCCAAAGTGCCTGTTTATGCAGCTGGAGAAGGAGGGAAGACAGGCAGGTGGGTGAGCAGCTACTGCCAGCAGCAGCGTAGGAGCCAGAAAGAGACGTATTTTTTTAATGTATCCATATGTTTGTATGTAGATGGGCTCTCACCTCTCATTGTTGCATCATCCGAAGAGTTTCACCAGTTCTCAGCATCACCTTTGCGGAGCAAATGCTTTGCTGCAAAAATCTGCCCGATCCCCCCCCCCCCCCCCCAAAATGGGTCTTGGTTTGCCAAAATGCCTTGGCCCCGAATCCAGAAATGCCACCTCCAAATTAATTACTAATTACTTGTTTATTGTGTGGGCTGGACCTTTGAAAGCAGCTGGTTGATGTCCCTGCTCTGCACGGGGAGGGGCAGAGAGAGCAAAACCTTAATGCAAGATGTTGCCATCCAAGATGTGTCTGCCCCACCAGGATGGGGAGGAGGTTGTTTCATGGATGTGTTGTCATCATCCCACATGCTGATGTCATCTGAGGCCAGTGTTTCTCTGGGGCTGGCTCACTGCCAGGCTCCCCAAATCCACTTCTGGTGCAAAAAAGAGCTCAGGAAAGACCTTGGGAGCTGGACACCCCCCAAAAAAGAGGAATGGGGAACAACCCCCCCCAACCCATCCTTCTGGCTGTCACAGAGGAGCCTGCAGGACCAAACACTTAATTCCTCTGGACAGGCTGGTGACAGGGATGCTCCTGCCTGCATTTCAATCGTGCACCCCAGCATGGGGTCCTGCAGCTGCAGGACCAACCCACCCACTGCCCCGAGAAAAGGCACCCTGGTTCCTCTGCAGACCATGAGCCGGAGGGGACCTGGGGGTCTCCCCAGAGGTGTCCTGATGCTTAAATGAGGGTCACACCAGGCACCGCTTCCAGCTCCAGCGAGGAACTTTTCCTATTCAAAGAGCCAGGATTCACCCAAGAATCAGCCTTGCAAGCTCCAAAATGCTGCTAGAACCAAGTTTTCCTGTTTTTCCAGGACGTTTCGTTGCTCCCCCACCCCTCAAAGCCCCTCTAGAAGCTTTTCTTCGAAGGGCTGGATCATGCCCTCTCCGCTTTTTGCAGGATTTGATTTCCCCTGCCTGTAACTCACTGGAGAATCAATTCCCAGATCTGTGCTGAACAATCGTTAAGCCTCATTAGCCTTAAGCTTCCTTCTCTTGATTTCTGGTTATTGCCCGGGTAGGAAATCAACACCTCTGTGTGATGGAGACTCCCTGCTTTCCCTCTTAGAGTCAATCGTAACAACTCCTGAAGCTCTGCAGGAGCAAAGTGGGTAGAGAGCATCTCTTGGCTCCACTGTGGATGAAGGAGGCAGAAGCACATGAGCGATCTGGGAAGGTCATGAAGAACCCAGAAATGAAAATGTGGCTCCCCAAAGCATCGCAGCCTCAAGCGTGAGGCTGTTCTTCCACATTGCATCAACTGCCGCGAGACCTTTGCATGCTTTCTCCTCTCCTGAATATATTCTGATCCTTCTTACGGGATAAATCACCCCGCACTGGCTTGTCTTGCAAAGTTTTTCCTGCTGTGAATATCCTCAACCAGAGACAGTTCAAGTGGCACAGCTGCATAATTAATGCTGCTAATGAATAATGAAACAAGTCTGATGTTGCATGCATTTTTCATGTTGATTGTGGGAGAGGACAAAACAGGTTGGTTTTTAAATTACTTCTTCAGCCGAGCAGTGGTCGGGGACTGACTGCGGGAGATGAAGGCTGCTAACGGCGGCAACGACCCTACGGTCCCCGGATGCTCATCCTAGAAGAAAAATGCTTGGGAAAGGCTGAGCTTGCCGTAAAAACCCACCTCCTGTGGCTGAGCAGCCGGCCTGAAATGAGATTACTCTAAGGATGCTATGGAAACTACTTTACTTTCTGTAGGTGATGGAGATGCACCAAATTGTCTCTTCAGCCACTGGACGTGCCAGCAGTTCTTAGTGACTTATTTTTCCCTTTCCTTCCTACAATTCATCTGCTCCATGTATTATCGGAGAGGAGCCCACTTATCGCATGAACTTTCTTTGATGTGATCCGCAGCCGGGCTTGCAAAGGTGACGGGGGCACCGGGGGAGAGATACTTCCTCGGGAAAAGCCCACCCAACTCAGGGATCTTGCTTGGACAGCTTGGCGCATGGGGATGCTCACCTGTGATATGTGTTTTTTGGAGATGTCTCAGTGCTCGCTCCCACCCCTGCTCCTCTTTCTCCATCCCCTCTGCCCTCGAGGCAATGCCAGGCAGGGGATGGTCCCTCCATGCTTTTTCACAGCATCCCTTTTTCTACACCCTGCTTTGGCTCTTGCTGATGCAAATAGCTTTTACTGTTCCCTTTGACTAGCAAAAGGGGCTCCAACTGGGTGCAAAATAATTCTGAGCAGCCTGAATTTATTTTTTTTTCTGACATTGCAGAATGAATAATTTCCTCCTTTCTTGGCCTTGGTCACCCAAAATTACGATTTTTCTGGTGTATATACCGTACCTCATAGGAGCATAACCCTTTTCCCAAGACCAGTGTCAAGAATTCACCTGCTCCCCCCTCCCGCAAGCTCTCAGTGATGTTGTCCTCCCCATCCGGACTCCGCGCCGCCACTATTGATCGCACCGCCTGCCTCAGGGATTTATTTTTGCAGCCCGGCGTCGGCAGGCAAACGTGATTGACGGGCCAGAGCTGGCTGATCTGTGCTTGTGAAGCAAAACAGAGGGAAACTGTGCCTTCCCTTCCCTTGATTTCAATTACAGGGAAATTTTCTCCTCCGAGATGTCAAACCTGCTTCTGGAGAAGAGGACTCATGTTTCAGCCCCCTCTCCATCATTCTTGCCCAGGAACAAACAGGCTATTTACAGGCTCTTGGCAGCATCCAACTGCTTCCCTAGCAATTAAGGGAGGGGGAAGATGGAGACATGAGGGGATTGTCCTCAAGGTCACGCTGGGTCTATGGGGGAAGGACTTCCTCACCACCCTCAAGAGCCCAGCAGGTCAGTGGTAGAAGTTGTTATCTCTTCAATTCAAGGACATCAGATATTTCTGGACTTTTTTTTACAAGATGTGCTGCCTGTCACCAAGTCCTCTTCTCTCTCTGATGTCCCTTCTCTTCTGCTCCATCCATGTAGGATGAGGACAGCCCACCTACCTTCTCCTCTTCTCCATCCGTGTAGGACAAGGACAGCCCACCCACCTTCTCCTCTGCTCCATCCGTGTAGGACAAGGACAGCCCACCCACCTTCTCCTCTGCTCCATCGTGTAGGATGAGCAGAGCCCACCCACCTTCTCCTCTGCTC